GGGGGGCATGGGGCAGGGGTGTGGGGTACAGGAGGGTGAGGGTGTGGGGTGCAGGGAGCAGGGGTGTGGGGTGCAGGGGGCAGGGGTGTGGGTTATAGGAGGGTGGGGTGTGGGACACAGGAGGGCAGGGGTGTGGGGGGCAGGGGTGCAGAGAGCAAGGTGTGGGGTGCCGGAGGGTTGGGGGTGCAGGAGCGTAGGGGTGAGGCGCAGGGATGGAATGGAGGGAGGACCGGGGTGCAGGCTGCAGGGGTGGAGCCACAGACAAGCACGAGTGGGGCACACGCGCGCCCGTGCGTCCACCCTCAGGGCCCGCCCCGCACAGGCTGGGCACGGAGGAGCTGCCCGCGCAGTGGCCGGTGCTCGTTGGCTCAGCCCGCAGCCGTCCTGCACCCGGCGAAGGGCTGAAAGGAGAAGCGCCGAGAGCCGGGCGGGTGACCAGAGGCTCCCTGCGGCCTTGGGAAATGCAAACCCGCAGGCCCTGCTCGGCATGCACCCTCCCGCACTGCCTGCCAGGCCGGGTTTGCAGGAGGGGAGGCTGCGGGGACAAGCCTGACCCTGCCTAGCAGGGGGTTGGGGAGAGGGTCATCCGCAGCCCAGGGAATGACGCCCACAACTTTAAGGTCACTGTGAGTGTGTGTGTGTGTGTGTGGTTGTTGGTGGTGGCGGGCTCTTGCTAGATGAGAATGGGGGAGGGGCTGGGGGCGCTGATCCCATCAGCAGACTCCTGGTCCCGGGAGGGGGGTGGTCTCTGCCCCCCACTGCCCTGTCCCTTTGTCCCTCCCCATGAAGACGGACACTTCAAAGGCTCCGGCCAGCGAGACATCAGGAAAACGCCATTTCTCATTTCAGAAAAATACTGTCTCCCAGTGGGACGTCTCAGGCCTAGCAGTGGGGGCGGGGGAGTGAGCGCCATCAGCCGCCCAGCCCTGCTGACCCCAGGAGTTCCGTGTGTAGAGTCCACATTCTTTCCCAGACTCTGCTTTCCAGAAGCGAAGCCGAGGTTTATGGCCGCGCGAGGCTGTAAATCAGATTCCAAGGGCAGGGGCGGCCCTCCCAGCCTGGCAGGCCCTCAGCACGGCCGGAAAAGAAGCCCAATGGGCCTGGCTGGGCAGCGAGACATGGCCATGGGACACGGCCAGGGTTCTCCTCACGCAGCAGGAGATAGGATGGCCAGAGGAGGGACGGGAGGGTGGGATCAGGAGACCCTGGGGGGGGGGGGGGGGTCAGGGCGCCCTGCAGGGGTGTAGTGAGAGGGGTCAGGACACCCCGCAGGAGTGTAATGAGGGTCAGGGCACCCTGCAAGAGTGTAGTGAGAGGGGTCAGGGCACCCTAAAGAGGATCAGGATCTCCTGTAGGGGTATTGTGAGAGGGGTCAAGACATTCTGCAGGGGTGCAGTGAGAGGGGTCAGGACACCCCGCAGGAGTGTAATGAGGGTCAGGGCACCCTGCAAGAGTGTAGTGAGAGGGGTCAGGATCTCCTGCAGGGGTACTGTGAGAGGGGTCAAGGCATTCTGCAGGGGTGCAGTGAGAGGGGTCAGGACACCCCGCAGGAGTGTAATGAGGGTCAGGGCACCCTGCAAGAGTGTAGTGAGAGGGGTCAGGATCTCCTGTAGGGGTATTGTGAGAGGGGTCAAGGCATTCTGCAGGGGTGCAGTGAGAGGGGTCAGGACATCCTGCAGGGGTGTGAGAGGGGCAAGACATCCTGCAGGGGTGCAGTGCGAAGGGTCAGGGCACCCTGCAGGAGGTCAGGATCTCCTGTAGGGGTGGGGTGAGAGGGGTAAGGATACCCTGCTGGGGTACTGTGAGAGGGGTCAGGACACCCTGTAGGGGTGGAGTAGGATGGTTCAGGACACGCTGCAGAGGTGGGGTGAAAGGGTTCAGGACACTCTGTAGGGTAGGAGGTGTCTTGGGGCTTCCCTCCTGCCATGGGAGCTCAAGAGCCAAGCCAGCCTGCGGCTAGAGTTGCGGGGGCAGAATGGGGACCCCCAAGACCCCAGTGCTGCTCACTCCCCCTGACCACGGAAGAGGGGCATCAGCCAGGCCCTACTGGAACCGCGCCCTCTCCTGGTCTGGGTCTCGCGAGCTCTGGGGTGCTGGCAGGGGTTCTGAACGCTGATAAAGTTGGGGTTTGCCGTGAGCTCTCTCAGCTCCCAGGGCTGGCCAGGCAGGCCCCCTGCAGGGAGAGGGCGGTCTGGGCGCCCCGTGCCCCCAGGCGTGCCCACGTCGCCTGTAGGTCCCTCAGAGCCCATTCTCACTCGCCGTTCAGGGGTGCGTCTGCTCTGCTGCGGTGGGTCCAGCTGGGGCCCCTGCGATTCCCCAGAAATGGGGGTACCGCCACGAGCACAGGGGCGTGTGCTCTGGGGACCCCTGAGGGAAAGGCGTCCTGTACCCGCCGGGGGGCTCGGGCCGGTCTGCCCCTGTAGGACGTGCAGAGGGCCTGGCGCCACCACCCTTTGTGCGTCAGCAGCAGCTGCTGCCAAAGGCTTCCCAGTGCAGGGGTGAAGCAAGGGCGCGCCAGGGGACATGGCCGTCAGCGGACACTGCGCTGAGACTGGGCACTCTCACAAACCCAAGGCCTGCCCCCCGCAGGACGTATGGCCGACACCCCCAGATCTAGTTCCCCACACTGGCAGCTCCTGGTGGGTACAAAGCAGGCGGGCCCCTGGGAGCACAGACACATGAGCCCAGACATGCCTGCATCCCAGTGCCCGCCTGCCGCATGGGGACTCAAGCCGGAGCAGCGAGAAGCCTCTGGTCAGGGCTGGGGACCCCTGTCCCTGCGCAGGGGCCAGATAGATAGGACCGCAGGAGGGCACTGTCCTTGCACATTGCCTAGCCATGTTCGGTCCCCGGCACCCCACGTGGTCACCCCGAGCCCTGCCAGGAGCGAGCCCTGAGCATCGCCAGGTGTGGCCTCAAACAGAAAGTATCTGCAATGGGACCTGCCAGCCCCTGTGGCCCCCCACTCCTGCTGGAGATGCAGTAGAAGGCGTGGCGGGCGTGGGGTGAAGAGGGCCGGGCCCTCCCCTCTGCCCACCAGGGTCCGATTCCCAAGGCGGGGGCTGGAGTGGGGGTGGTTGGGCCCGTTCATGCACGGTGGGGGCCAGCAGCACACTGAGCATCTAACGTCCCAGCACTGCTGCCCCATTGGGGTGGGAAGGCGGGTCAGGGGGGCAGCCAAGGGCAGGCCTTGGGCAACCAGACCGGGGTCTGCCACCCCCGGGCCACGTCCACTCCCGCAGGATCTGGCTCCGTCCCACAGTCCCAGTCCGGGGTCCCGGGATCAGGGGCAGGGGTCCTGGCTGGGCGCGCACTGAAGTCAGGTCCCCAATTCCGTCCCAGCTCTGACCTGCGGGCGCCCCCTGCTGGCCACGGGGAAGGGAACTGATGCGCTGCATGACAGAATTAGGGGTGTCAGTGGGACCCCGCAGCCAGGCCGGGTGGGAGGTTCAGGGTTCTGAGACGTAAAACAGTCCCCCCCCCACCCAAAAGAAAACCCAACAAAACAGAATCGCCCGTGCAGGAATAGCTGGGGACCTCTGGGGGCCGGAGGTCCAGCAGGTCGGCTGGGAGCGGGCAGCCTGCAGGTGGCCAGGGGGACCTGTGGCAGCAGCTCACTACCCACGGTGACACGCCTCGGTCGAGTCCCCAAGGCCTGGGGGTGGCCGGGCCCATCCTGGGATTCCTCTGCAGAAACCAAGCCTGTGGCTGGAGACAGGCCTTCCAGGTGGGGGAGACAGGAAGCCCAGTGACTGTAGGGGTGAGGCTTGGGGGGGGGGTGGGGGGGGGGTTTGTGCACACCCTCTCCCCTGCTTTTTTTTTTTTTAATCATATTCCTTCTCATCCATCACGTTTCACTCAAACGAGAGAAAGAATCCGGAGTTCTGACATCCGTCGACGATCAAGAATCAGGGACGCTGTCTCATTTGCCCAGGTGTCGAAAATCAGATGGGCTGGTCACGGAATGAGATTTGAAGACCGTTGGACTAGAGCCGTTACCGACTGGATCCCACAGGATGTCAAAAGACCGCGTGGCCGCCCACCTACCAGACGGTCAGACTTCTTCGTCAAGATCATGAACGATCGGTTTGAGGCTCTTCGTGTTCCTAGAGCGAACAGACGCCATTGGGCTACTCTAGCACGCGACAGGGACAAATGGAGACGTTACTGGCGCCCGCTCGAGCAAATCGACGATTAACGGGAAGTCAAGTGATTAAGTGATCAAGCCATATTCCAGGTGGCCCACCCTGCAGAGCTCCAAACTCAGTCACGGACCCCTGGTATCTGTCCCCACCCGTGGCAGCAACGGATGGGGGGCAGGGGAGACCACGCAGATGGGCAGGCCTGGTGGGGTGGGGAGGGTCGCAATTTTATTTAAAACAGGGGAGGGGGCCATCGGAGGCGGCGGGCGGAGTCCAAGAACATGGCACAGAACAGAGGGGACAGCGGGGGACGCTCACCAACAGCACCTTAGGTGGGACGAAGACGTGGTGTGGGCATGGGGGACCGGCCCTGTCCCCGGGGGCGGGGGAGAGGGGGAGGGTGGGACCGTTCTCAGCGGTGGTCCCCTGCACCGGAACGGGCCCTCAGGTTTCACAGAAGCTCCCCCACCTTTTTTTCTTTTTTCTTCCCGTTTCCTGGAGAAGATGGAGAGGGGGAGGGGAACCCCCCCCCCCACCACCACACACAAGTCAAGTCCGTGTCAGTCATGGCTCCTGCAGGCTTTTAAGCATCCAAACTCAGACACAGACACGAGGATCGACGAGGAGGAGGAGCAAGGCGGGAGAGGCTGCTGGCCGCTGACCGCTCGCTGGCTCGCTCACTCGCAAGGGAAGGCGGGTTCGCAGAAATGAAGGCCAGGGGGGCCAGTCTGTTTGTTGGTGGGGGGAGGTCTGGTTCAAGCTTGAAGGGGTCACGGGGGTCTCCTGGCGTCCAGCTGCCCCGCAGACCCCGGCCTTGGGGCGAGCCATGCCGGACCCCCCACCCGCGGCCCCCCCCACCCGCGATGCGACAGTGACCCCGACAGTGACCCCGGGGTCCCCGCGCCCCATCACTTCTTGCCCACGCCGCCGTTGGTGACTTTGGCCTTGGAGTGGCGGTTCCGGCGCCGGGAGGAGTGGCCCTCGCTGTTGCCAGAGTGCTTGGGGGGGCTGTCCTCGGAACCTGGCGGGAAGAAGCGGGAGGCGCGGTGCTGGGGGCTGCTGACCCAGTGACCGGCCCCCTCGGCAGGGACCGGCCACGCAGACGCTCCTCGCGCGCCACCTGGTGGCCGCCTGGAGTGATGCAGGAGACCCAGGGGCTCACAGGGACGGGGGTGGGGGTGGGCTCTGAGGACCTCCTGGGCGCACCCCTGCACCCTTCTCTCTGGAAAGCGTGTCCCCAAACCTGGCGGAGCCCCGGCCCTCTGTGCTGCGCCCTGGGCGTCACGCTTTGGGGGAACTCAGAAAGTCCCCTCCACGGGGGTGGAAGGGGCCGAGGGGCGGCTGGCAAGGCCAGGAGGCACCACCGGACAGTGGGTGTCTGGAGAGGCTTGGGACTTTCAGGTTCTGAGCTGCCTCTGCCCTGGGCATGAGCGTGGCGCTGGCCCTGAGGTCAAACAGGGCAGGGCCTAGGGCAGGTCACAAGTGACAGGTGGCCGGGGCATGGGGACACGGGGGTGCGGGGGAGGGCACCAAGTCCCTGTGCTGCTGTTGCCCGTGGAAGCAGGGCTTGGCTGTCCAAGACCTGAGATTTTTCTTTTGGGGGATTTTGAAGCCACGGCCGATGGTGCTGGGGGTGGGTAGCCGGGATATGTGCGTGTGTGCGTGTGTGTGTGTGAGGGGTCCAGGGAAGATGGGAACTAGGCAGTGCTGGGCTCACGCTAGGGCACAACACACCCCCTGACTCTAGCCCCATCTCTGTTCCGCTTTCCTTTTCATTTACTTCGGCTTTGGGGGCCACCCCCAGTGATGCTCAGGGGTCCCTCCTGGCCCCGCACTCAGGGATCACAGCTGGCGGTGCCCGAGGGGGCCAAATGGGATGCCAGGGAGAGAAACGGACAAGGCCAGTGCCCTCCCCACTGTGCCATCGCCACTGGCTTTCCTTACTTATGGAACTCTCCCTTTTTCCTTTTGTTTTGTTTTGGGGCCACACCTGGCAGTACTCAAGGTTCACTCCTCACGGTGCTTGGGAGACCCGAGGGGATGCCAGGATCAGACCCGGGCCAGCCATGTGCTCTTCCTACTGTGCTGTCACTTGGGGCCCCAGGAACAATCTGCCCACGGAGATGTGACCCACAGGCCAAAGGCTGATCTGAGGGATGTCTGGGAGCCCTCTGTCCCCTTCATCAGGACCGAGAACCCAGGCAGGGATGTGGCCAGGAGAGCAGTTGTCTCTGGGACACGTCGTTCATCTCCCTCGGGAAAACTCGGCCCCCAGCCCCCTGCAGCTCACCGGAACCAGCCAGAAGCCCCTTCGGGGCCATCAGCTCACAAGCTTCAGAGTGGGGGAGTGGGTTCGGCCCTGGACGCAGCCGTGGTTGAGGGCAGAGTGGGCCTTGCACGTCTGAGACACCATATACCAGCCAGGGGATCTCACGCTCTCCAAATGCCCCCTACGGGAGAGGCTGTCCCCTGTAAGGGGGGCCGCCGCCACCCCCAGCCTGTTACCTTTCGCCCCTTTCCGGTGTGACCAGGAGATCTCGGGGCTGTAGGAG